AACACGCCCCTAAATGAGCCCGCCCCGATTAGGCCCCGCCCACCAGCCAACAGACGGACACGCCTCAGACCACGCCCCCCACCCTGAGCCCCGCCCATTTCATTGCGCAACAGGAAAGCCCCGCCCATCGCGCCCAGCGGGGGCTGCAGCGCCGCCTGGTGGTCGGTGCTGCACGTGTGGGCTAGGCGATGGGGCAGGGGGACAGGGGACACAGGGACACAGGGACAGGGGGACACACGGACACAGGGACACGGGGACACGGGGACATGGGGACATGGGGACAGGGGGACACGACACGGGGACACAGGGACACAGGGACACAGGGACACAGGGACACAGGGACATGGGGACACGGGGACACAGGGACACGGGGACACAGGGACATCTGGACTCAAGGAAACAGGAGAACAGGGACATACATGAGTAACACGAGGACACAGGGATATGAGATGGGGATGTGGGGACACAGGATCACAGGGACATGGGGTGATAGGGAGCACTGTCCTTGGGCAGGGAGACATGGGGAGTGCTGGGGCTCACCGCACTGGGATCACTGAGAACTGAGTTCTCCTGCATGAGGACGCACAGGACACTGGTCCCAGGATGTGGTGACACATGGGGTGTTGGGGCACTGGTCCTGGGATGCGGGGATGTGTGGGACAATGAGGGGACAGTCCCCAGCACAGTGTGTGGGGTCCCACATCACATGGAGGACACAGAGCCCCTGGCTTGCCACATGGACATGGGCACAGAGCTGAGCAGAGGCATTCAGTGGGGGCCACCTGGAATCATGAGGGACCCCCAAGCAGTCCCTGTCCCTCTGTCCCCCTGCCCCTCTGTCCCCCTCCCAGTCCTCTCCCATTCCCTTCATCTCTCACTTTCTGTCCAGGTTTTATGCTGTGGTTCCTGCACAGCTTATGGCTCTCCCCACAGTCCCATTCATTCCCATCTTTCTCTTCCCTTGGCATTTCTGGGGTTGGCTGCACATGTCCTGGTCCCCCCAGCACGAGCCCAGCACGAGGCTGGGCTGGGGATGTGTCACTGTCTCTGTTATTCCCCTTCTTAGCCAGGAAAATAGACCGGAGGTCACTCAGCCACCCACTTGGTGACAAGAAGGGAACAATGCAGGGAGGCCCCATCTACACCAAGCTGTGACACCAGCTTGTCAGCCTGACCCCAGTGATGGCACCTGGGCATGTCTGGTCCTGACAGGGCTGGGCAGGATGCCCAGTGCCCTGGAGTGCTGCAGTGGGGCAGGGCCACATGTCACCAGGCTGGGCACCGGCTGCCACCCTCCTGTCCCACACAAGGGGCACAAAAAGCTCCATCTTCCCGCTGTGGTTCTCCTGTCTGCCCCCAGTTGCCTCTTGCCCACTTCCTCCTACTCACGGTTGTGTGATGGCAGCTGGAAATCTCTCCCCCCTCGATGGCTGGATCCCCCGGATGCTGGTGGTGGTGACAGCTGGCAGTCACCTCATACTTCAGTCTGGCTGCGCACCCCGCAGGGCTGTGGGCACGACGTGGCGTGACGTGGTGGAGCCAAAGGGAGGGCGTCAGCAGGGAAAGGGACTGGTGGCAGTCCTGCTGTGTCACCAGCCCCGTGCCATTTGTGCTGGCCCGGCTGGCTCAGTGGCTGCTCCACAGAGATGTCCTGGCTGGTGCTGTCACCTGCTTCTGCTGCTGCCTGTGTCACCCTCCTGCTTGGCTGTGCCTGGCTTGGCTCTGCCACCCAGCCCTCCTCAGGTAAGTGCCTTGGTGGGTCTGGGGGTGGTGGGGTAGGGCAGGGACACCTCACTGGGACACCCCAACATCACTCCCCATGACACTTGGAGGTGATGGCTGGATGTCACGGGGAGAGTTTGGGGCCCCTCTTATCTGCCTTCCCTCAGTGTCCACATTGAGAATCTGAGTGAAGACCTGAAACCCAGACAGCATTTCCTCTTTTGGCAGCAAAATTCAGATTACTGCTCTCATAACCGGAATTTTCCATCCCCTGGATGTGGAGAGGGGGCAGAGGTTGTGGGAGACAACCAAATGTAACCAAGGCCCCCTGGGGTAGGGTGTTCTGGGGACCATCAGGATAGAAATTCTGGAGCTGGGGGTGATGTGCAAAGCCTGTATGGCTTTTTTTTTTTTTTGAGAAAGCCAGAAAAGGGATTTGGTTCTGAGTTGTTTCTCTGGTAGCTGGGGCCTTCCTGTTCTTCACTTTTGCTCTTTGCACATAGCGAAAAGCCCCTGACCACAGGAAGAGGAGATGTCTCTGGCTGTGGTGGGGAGCTGAGCTGGGGAGATGGCTGGGACTATCCCAGCCCTGTGCTGCTGTGGGTTTCCCATCTGCCCTCCTGATCCCGTTGTGCTGGGCTGGCTAGGAGAAGGGACATCAGCAGCTCCAGGGATGTGGGAGCAGAGCAGGGCAGGGCTGGGCTGGCACCGCTGCCGTGGTGGCTGGCACAGACTGTGGCTCTGCAGGGCGAGGGATGCTGGGGGCTCCCCTGGCAGGGGACGGGGAGATGCCACCTCCTGTGTTCAGTGGTGGCTCTGCAGGGAGGGGTGACAGCTCCTGCTGCAGGCTGAGCCCGATGCCTCATGTCCCCACAGCGCTGGTCAGAGGGCGATCCCTGCTCCGTCTCACTCCCCTGGAGAAGAACGTGTGCTCCCAGGCCTCTGAGGAAGATTTTCTCAACAGCACCCTCAGCACCCGCCTCCTGCCTGCCCTCTACTCCGTGGTGCTGCTGGTAGGGCTGCCAGCCAACGCTCTGGCCTGCTGGGTCCTGGCCACCAACTTCAGGAGATGCTCCAGCACCATCTTCCTTCTCAACCTGGCTGGGGCTGACCTGCTCTTTGTCCTCCTGCTGCCCTTCAAGATCTCCTACCACCTCCTGGGCAACCACTGGCTCTTTGGGGACTACCTGTGCCGCACCATGGTGGCCTTCTTCTATGGGAACATGTACAGCTCCATCCTCTTCCTCACCTGCATTGGCCTGGATCGCTACATCTCCGTGGCGCACCCGTTCCTGTGGAAGGGCTCCAGCTGGACGAGGGCCAAGGTGGGCATCTGTGTGGGCATCTGGCTGGTGGTGGGGCTGGGCATGAGCCCCCTGCTCTTGCGCTCCCACACACACAGCATCTCCAGCCTGAACATCACGACGTGCCACGACGTGCTAGACAAGGAAACCCAAAGGTTCTTTGGCTACTATTTCCTGTCCTTGGTGGGGCTGGGCTTTGGCCTGCCCTTCGTGCTCATGACCGTCTCCTACAGCTGCATCCTGGCGCGGCTGCTGGCCGAGGGAGGGAACTACCGGCAGGTGGTGCGTGTCCTGGCCCTGGTCCTCATGGTCTTCATCCTCTGCTTCACGCCCAGCAACGTGATGCTCTTCATCCACTACCTGCTGGAGCCCACGGGGTGCAACAACAGCACCTACATCTCCTACGCCCTGGTCCTGGTGCTCAGCGCCTGCAACAACTGCTTTGATCCCTTCATCTACTTCTATGTCTCCCAGGATTTTCGGGGCTGGGTCCGGGATGCAGGAGGCCGTTGCCTGCAGGGGCTCGAGGCCTCGTTGGGGAGGTCCACAGAGAAGATGGCCCTGCCCCTGAGGTCCAGCGGGCAGAGCTAGGGCTGCCAAGCCGTGCCCCCATGCCTCGGGGATGAGGGAGCCTGAAGCGTGCCCACCACGAAGGGCTGGAAATAGACTTGGGCAAAAATTCCCACCTGGATCTGAGGTTCACGAGGATTTTGCCTCATTTTTGCTCCCCTGATGACAGCAGCGCTGCCCAATCCCATGGGACCCCCAGCTGGGTGCCTGGCACCCCGATCTCCCCATCTGCCAGACCCTGGCATCCTTCACCCCTCCTCCTGCAGTGACCAAACCCTCCAGAGTACAAATAAACCTTTATTTCTCCCTGCTGGTGGCAGGAATAGGTACAAACACCCTCGCTGAGGAGGGGCTGCCCTCCATTGCCAGGACTACACACCAGGCACACACGGCCAGCCCTGCTCCTGCTGCTCCCCCTTTCCCCCCAGAATTCACCACAGCGGATGCAAGAAGGGAAGGGGGGATGGCTTGGGTGTCCTGGCCCTGCCCTGCAGGCCCAGTGCTGGAGAGAGGACACGCTGTGCTCCCCGTGCTGGCAGGCACCCCGTGCCGCCTGCCTGGCAGGTGCCGTGCTGCCAAAACACGCGGGCACCACGTTCCTGCTTTTGTTTTCCCCTTTGCTTGCGTCCCTCGGTGACAGATGACAGATGTGCCACCCATGAGCAAGGGCACAGGGGGCAGCAGTCCCAGCCCTCCCCCCAGGGGGTACCAAGGCCCAGCATCCTGGGCCGTCGCCCCTTCTCCCTTTGGTTCCTGATCCCAGCCTGGCTCCGGGATGAGGAGGAGGAATAGTGTGGGGGTTCCATGACGTGGGAGTGTGGGGTACCCATCATCTCTGCCACTGGGGTACCCATCATCTCTGCCACTGGGGTACCCATCATCGCTGCCACCGGGCATGACTTGACCCCCAGGTTGGTGGCCACCCCTTTGGCCCAGCAGGTCACGTCACCGGCTGGCCTGGCCCTGGGAGTTGGCCATCGCTCTTCCTGAGGATGACGCTGCTGAGCTCCTGGATCACTTTGTCACTGATGGGTGAGGGAGGCTGCAAGCTCCTCTTCCTGGGCAGCTCTGGGGTGGTCTCTGCCGTGGGGTTGCTCCCTGGTGTGGCTGCCTGCTCCCAGTCCCTGCCCAGCACCAGGGAAGGCTCCATGTTCCTCTCCAGAGAGGATGTTTTGGTGGGTCTGAGCCCCGGGGCTGGAGCTTTGCTGCTCTCCAGGTTCAAACCCCTCTCGAGGGACACGGCTTTGGTGACAGAGGGACCTGTCACCCTGTGGGCTGGGCTGGCAGGCAGTGAGGAGCGCAGGGCAGTGCCTGGAGGCTGCTCGGGGAATGGAGATGGCTTCTTGGACCTGTCCACGGGGGGCATGGCCAGCTCTGCCAGCAGCTCCTGCCCCAGGTCCAGCGCCGCCAGCTCGGGGAAGTTCCCCACTTCCTCGTAGACAGGATCAATGTCTGCCTCCTTCTCCTGCTGCTCCTCCAGGGAGTCCTGCTGGATCTTCATGGGCTGGGGAGGGCAGGGGGCAGGGTGAGGGGCAGTGCCCACACAGCTCAGCTGTACCCCCGTGTCCCCCTCACCCTGCACTGCCTCACCGTGGGGCCGATACCCGTGAGGGACCCTCCCTCCCACCGGGTCCTTGGCTCAGGCACTGCTGCCCTTCCTTCCCCATGGCTGAAGAAGGGGGAGTTTGATCCCTGCCGGGCATGGTCCATGCCACCAACCCAGCACCCCTCGGCAGAGGGTTTCGGGGTGGGGCAGCAGGTGGATGCCACGCAGAGCACAAAGCCAGGTGAGATGAGGTTCAGCCTGGTCCTTTTTGGAAATAATCTGATGACAAGGCACACCTAAACCTCTTTTCCTCACATTTCTTCTGCTGATACCCTATGGGTAACGTGTGCCCAGTGGGAGAGGCTCTGGGAACTGGGCAGGACTGATGTGGTCTTGCTTGCCCACACTGGGACCGCGCAGGGACCCACACCCCCAGGCAGGGAACATGCAGAGCAGCGGGCACACAAGGTGGGCACATCTCCAAGTGCCTGTGGGATGCTGCAGGTGAGCCCTGGCACCGTGCAAAGCCAGCAGGGGATGCTCCATGTGTGCAGGTACTTACAAAGAACATGGACAAAGTCCTTCGTGTGTGGAGGCGGCGCTAGAAACAGAGGAGATGGACAGGGGTGAGCACGGAGAGCTCGGAGCAGGGTCACAGGTGCCTGGGCAGGCAGGGGAGGGGCAGAGGGTGCAGGAGCCTGCAGGCACGGAGAGCTTGCCACGGACATGGGCACGGACATGAGCATGGCACACACAGCACCCGTCGGTGCAGCAGCCCCTCCAGCCCTGAGGTGGGCACAGGGTCTTGGGACAGGGACAAGGAGCAGGATGGGCACAGGAGCACCTGTGGGCAGGGGGAGCCGCAGGGGCTTTACCAGGGTTTGGTTGGCAGAGAGCATGGTGGCGTCAGTGCTGTCCCCGTGCAGGGGCACCAGTGGCATGGTCCCGAATTTCTGCTTGGCGAGGTCGGAGGAGGAGCGTCGGCGCAGGACCACAGGGCGCAGGTCGTCGTGCTGTGCACAGGGACAGGGGGGACGGGGTTCATGCCCTGCCAGCCCCGTCCCCGCCCTGCCCAGCTGGGTGGCACCACCAGCCTGCACCCACCTGAGCCTTGAGGATGCTGGTGGTCCAGTCCCACAGCTCAGCCTGCCCTGAGCACACCAGGTACCTGCACAGCAAAGAGTGGAGAAGCTGCCAGGGAGTGGAGACAGTGGGGCCCATGTCCCCTTGTCACCTTGTCTGTGAGCCTGGGGCTCTCAGGTTCATCTACACCCCATGGAGCTAAATCTCTGCAAATCTCTGCATGCCCAAATTGCTGCCTTAGGGCAAGGTGAGAGATTTTTGGGCACCCAGCAGCCCCCAGGGGTGCTGGTGTGGGTGGGGAGGCAGGAAGGCTGTGTGGCCCCTGGAGCCTGGCTGCCATCCTGTGGCAGGGACAATGTGGCCCCACCACTCTGCCTCTCAGGTGCCCCAGCTCTGCCCTGACCCCAGAACCATTGCCCCTGGCTGTCCCACTAAAAGTGGGGACAGATCTTGACCTCCCCCAGCCCCAGGACAGCAGGGGAAGGTACTCACAGCTGCTGCTTGTCCAGGGTCAGTGTGAAACCCCACCTGGAAAGGAACACAAGGCTGTAGGGCAGCTCTGCCAAGCTCAGACACAGTCTGGGGTCTGTGGGCAGTGGGGCTGAGCTCGCCCCATGGACACAGGCTTTGGGTCCAGGCAGAGCCTGGTGTAGTCCAGCAGCCAGGTTTGGGTTCCAGGAGCAGGGACTGAGAGATGGGTATCTGCCCCAGGGCCAGGGCTCAGAAGGTCCCACTTACTGAGCTGGTGGCTTCAGCTTCTTCCTAATGCCCATGTAAATCTTGGCTGCGTCCAGGGGCCACTCACGCTCTGGCTTGGCACTCTGGGAAAGGACATCCTGTGGGTCAGCCCAGCTCGCTGCCAGCCTCCCTGCCAGGAGGACAGCCACCACTGTGCCGCTGCTGTCCCCAGCCTCCTCCTCCCTGCCTCTCCTCCCAGCCCTGGTGCTCAGGTCCATCCCACAGCATCCCCCAGTACCCTCTTCTCCTTGAGTAGCAGCAGCCTCCTGTCCCGGATGACGAAGTAACGCTCCTGAAACTTGTTCCCCAGCAGCTTGGGGGGCTCCTCACGGCATTTCAGCAGCCCACACTTGGGGGTTTCACGCTTGGCACCTGTCCAGTGCGGGGACATGAGGGTCAGGAGGGCTGGCAGGGTGGGATTGCAGGGGGATCCCATTGGTGATGTGCCCCTGATGGTTGCAGGGTGGTGAGCAAGGCAAGGGGAAGCTCAGGCAGAGCTGTCCCCCTCTGGGGACACCTCTGGGTCCCTTTGTGCTTGCCTTACCTGTGAAGAGGCAGCTGCCCTCGCCGATGGGCACCTTCCTCACCAGCAGATACGCGGCGCTGGGCTCCGGGAGCTTGCACCACTGCAAGGCCTGCTCCAGCACCTTCTCCTTGGGGTGCAGGGGCCGCTCTGGGGACACAGGGACACGCTCACCACTGTGTCCCCTTCCCTGCGCCAGTCCCCTCTGCCAGCATCAGAAAGCCACCCACACTGCCCCCAGCCATGCCAGGAGCATCCCCCTGGGCCACCCCCCCCCCGCTCACCCAGCTCCCCGTTCTCCAGTGCCTCAAAGGTCAGCCAGATGTCCAGGCTGGCGGCCACATTGCGCATCTCCAGCACCTGGTTGGTCAGTTCCTCTGCTGTCATCGTGGGGGACACCTGGGGCAGGACACACGGGGAGCTGCGCTGGGTGGTGCAGGATGGGTCCCAGGATGCCAGGAGCCTGCGTCCCTCCTCACCAGAGCATGGCACAGCCCTGCTTTGGGACTCACCTTCAGCGTGACGCAGCAGTCAGGCACCTTCTGCTCCAGGTAAACCTCGATGATGAGGTCCCCTGCCTGGGAGAGCTGTGGGGAGAGCAGGTGGTGTTGGTGCTGGTGTGGGTGCTGAGCACATCCCACCTTCCCGGGGTCTGGAGATGGTGTCCTGGGAAGCTGGGGCTGCTTTTCCCCTGGGCAGGAGCCTTAAGGTGATGGGCACAGGAGACATAAGAGAGGGTCCTTTCCCAAATGTGGATATGGGAGAGTGGAGACCAGGGTGGGTGGCTGGGAGTGTCCCCATCCCCCAGTCAGTCCCACCAGGCCAGGGGTCCCTGGTGTGGTGGGGGACAACCAGCACATTCCCAGTACCTGGGTGTCCTTCCAGGTGGTGATCAGGCTGTTCTCCAGATCCATCTGGGATACCTGATCCTCATCAATCTGCCGGAGGAAGGGTGCACAGGGTCAGTGTGGAGCGGGACATGGCTTGAGGACACAGGGCCATGTGGAGGGATGCAGCGGGAGGCAGAGGTGGGCAGGGGGATCCAAGGGGGTCCGGCTCAGACCCAGGCCCCTGCTTACATTGAAGATGCTGACGTAGTTGTCGATGAGATCTTCCATCACCTTGACCTCGTGCTCCCCTTTGCCGTCGGTCTGGAAGAGGCTGGGCGCGAAGAGCAGCGACAGGTTCTTGGTGCTCATCTGGTTGAGGTCTGCACATTTCTGCACCCTGGCACAAGGAGCGCAGAGGTGAGGGGCTGGTCCTGCTCAGGCACCCTCCTCTGCCTCACACAAACAGCCTGGGTGTCCCCAGCCCCTCCGCAGTGGGAACTTCAAACTGGGCAGTTCCTG